TGAACTGTCCAACTCTGAACAAAACACATTTCCATAGTTCCACATTATTTTATTTTTTATTTGTTTAATACTGCTATGGTTAATTTAGGCAGAGGGATCTCCTTTCTTCTCCGTCATTGGCAGAATCACTGATTAATGCCTACAGTTCAAAATAGTCATTTTGACTGACCGGAGTCTATGGTGGGTAATTGAACGTAGTGAATTTATTCATACTTGGGGCAAATAATGACATGTACATATATATCATAATTTCACAGCTCACATGTTATATATTATTTTGGACTATGGAAAATTATTTTTTTTCCTAGAAAATGTGATATCTTTAAAATAGCATTTTTATCTTCATCAATCATGTTAATTTTTTCTGTCGAAGTGCGTTGCCAATTATTATTAACAAGTGTATTGTGTGGAAACATTAGTGAAATCACAGTAAGACGGTTCTCCTGCAGGCTGAAGTCATTTGCAGTAATTATGCTTCAGTACTGGAGTACATTAATTGCTTGGTTTTACAAAACTTCAACATTCATGTAACTCACTTTAGACACTCAGAGAAAACAGAAATGCAGAGTGAGGATTTCATAGATAAGCATCCTTCAACCACACGCTGCATGATACTTCACGTAGTACATGTGTAATTGCAGAAGCATAAAACTTGCAGACATCAACATCACATGACTATTACAAGTCGCTCACTTCAATCGCAATGTATTCACACTCTTTATGTACCCATGGCAACGTAATACAGAGTGTAGTAACAACAGAAATTCTGCAACCTGTATCATTGCATAATCATATCAGACAATGTCCACTTTCAATTATCAATTCCTCATTCATATTCCATACAGCAAATTCAACTCAAATAGCATTCCAATATAAAAAATGATTGTCAATATAACCCAATCATCAGTCAATATTAAGAGGTATATTTCTGCCTGTTTTTAGATACTATCTCCATGGATACAAGAATGGATAGAGTATAGTCGCATTTAAAACTGTAGGGGCACTTGTGAAAGCAAAGAACAAAGAAGTCATCCATTAGGCATTGATAGATTGTCACTAGCAGTTTTCTGTTTTGTATTTATTCTCCCACACAACACAGCACATTCTAAGAAGTGACTTGATTGTAGGAATACATTTTAAAGTATCATGAATTACTGTTGTCATGGAAATATGAATAATTTGCACTTCATTCATGATTATTGATTTCCAATGTTGACTGTACATGCATAGTATTATTCACTAAAAAAACGTAAGGGCACTCCTCTTTTTTTATCACTAACATTTGACCACAGAAATGCAATCACACTAAACTGAACTATTGTCCTTTTATCGACAATTTAACCGATGTCATTTCCTTCTCAATATGTGTGTTAATAACTATCATAGATGTACATGTAACAGTGATTCATATATATGCCACAAAACGATTCCATGCAGGATTTCCTATCACTGGAACACTTTTAATAAAGTAAAGAACTAAATGGGATTAATAGATTGTCAATTACAAAATGTAGGAAATTGGTTTTCACTTATGTCGTGATACATGTGGAACATGTCAGTCACATCGATAGATATTTTTGTATCGATGCACCTGCCATTTACAAAAGTTACTTTTTTATGAACAACTTGATATAGATATTTGGGCTTTATAGAACAAAATATATTAAGTAACTTTTAAATTGAGAATTTTTAATATACCTTATTAACCCTTTGCATGAAAAAACTAACCTGCATAATATTTTCTCTTATTTTTCCAAAAAAATTTATCAAACCAGTATATAGTCAAAGGAATGTCAAATTGATCTCAAATCAATACATAAAAAAATACATAAATACATGAAATATTTGCAAAATTTAGCACCAAAATAGTGACAAATATAACAGTCAACATAGACTATTTGCTCTAATAGTAGCGCACAAGTCATATTTTAATTATTCAGTATATAAAAATGCATTTTTTGGTTCATAAGCACTTATATTGGAAATATGCTTCTAGTGAATACTGTAATTAGATAGTGCAGATATACATGTATCTCAAGGTTAAGAATTTAGCTTGAATTTGTACTGACCAATTGGAACATTGTGTACTTCAACTAATTAATATGCAAATTACAAAGAATTATTCATAGCAAGGATGCATGGACAGATACTTGGATATGCATACACTTTGAGTACATAAACACTGTTAGAATGTTAAAGCATTTTTATTTCGTCATAAAAATACAATAAAATTAAATTAAAAGGGGAGTATTATTTTATGAAAAAGTCTAGTTCAATATATGAATAATAATTTAATAAAAATTAATTTACAAGTTTATACACTAATTTTATTGTAAAATATATAAAATGTAGCATTTTGATGCAAAGCAAATTACATTACTTGATTTTTATTGATTAACTCTGCATACATTGCTCAAAACGTGGTAGTTATTGATTACATTTCTCATCGCTAGCAGAACGCTGACTGCAGTATATTGACAACGTATTGATTACAATTAGTGAAATGTTACTTTCATTTTCTGGAGTTCAATACAAACTAAATACTACAAAGAATTGTCCAATTCTCCCTCAAATTTTATTAAATATCAAAAGAAAATAGCATTATAGAAAATTAGAAAATAACAATAGATTACATTGGATAGAATTTGAAAACAATTCATTAAAAAATGCATACAAAAATGAAGTATAATTATTTACAATATTAAATATTTTACTAAAATAGATGTAGAATATTTATTTTGTTTTACATAGGTGTTAGGGAGTCTATACATAACATGGTAACTCATAGGGCAGTAGTAATGTGTTTACTAATTGGTTAAGTTTAATCACCTGTTATAATACACATGAGTGAACCTCAAGAAGAACGCAAACCTGAAATGTTTCAAATTACATGCCAGCAAGTATACTAATCCTTTAGATGTCATTACTTTCACTGCCAAATTTTAGTGCACTATTTTGTTCATTTTTACGAATTTTATTCCTGATATGTTGTACCAAACTATTTTGCAACAACAATAGATCTTGAAAAATATTTGAAAAAAAATTTTAAAATGAAATTAAAAAGTTTATTTTGTGAAAGGTGCTAAAAGGGCAATAGGCTATTTAAAAAACAACACAACTCATCATATTATCTCAGTGTTGAAGACACAAATACTGACCTTTGACACCCCTACATTTCTAATGGTTTAGTCTATACTTGTACAGCTTTTCAAAATGTCAAGTGAGTAGCTTAATTTCATTGGTCTATAATCTAATAAAGAAATCTTGCCTATATCCTGTGTTACTATGGTAACAGACAATATAAACAGGTCAATTTAATGATGATGGATATACGATTGTAAATTGTTTCTGACATTATAACACTCTAACTATGAAGTTGGACAGGTGCCTATGTTGGGGTTAGAACACATGACAATGCATTACATGAGACTTAGGTAATGTTATAATGTCTTACATTCCACACTGAATAGTGCTCAGAGTTTATATTCTATACTTTTATTAAGAGGGAACAAAGAACTAAATTGAAACAAACTTCATGATAACTGTGGAATAATGATATCATAGTTATTCTTCGCGTATTTTTAAACGATTATGCAACACTCTACCAAGAAGAGTGAGTAACGGGAGAGTTGTGTTGGAATGTGGTTGAATAGTCAAACTGGTTGATACTATGAGCTTTTTACGAGGATACCTCAAAGTATGCACAAAGACAGTACAGCGGAAGTATCAACCGACGCGCAATGGAGGTTGATGCAACATTATTATACCTCTTTTCCTTCCAAGGATACATCATGAGAAAGCCAAAATCCAAAAAGTTTAGAACAGAATCAGTGAACTTCTTTGTGTGGAATCCGGTCAAACACTGGTGGCAGTCATAATTGTTTTTATTATTAGAGAACACTTATGAAAAGTAATCATTCCATATTTGGAATTCGCATTTTCTTATATGGTAGGATGAAAATACCCCGTAAAATACCGCAAAATTACGGAACGCTGTAACTTATGGTGTTACGGTGACATATGTATAATAATATGCGTTGAAAATATGCAGCGAGACAATACTAGTATATAGAGTTTAGATATTGCTGATATTTTCACTGGTATACTTTTCTGTGCAATGTTTTGTTCTTGAAGTGACTTGAACTGGTTGGACTGGGCTGGAAAATGGAGCATTTCACTATAATGAACTATACTACTACAATTTGAGCATAGTCAGTCTGTTATAAGAGTTATGATAACATAAATATGTGTGTATTAATGTATGGTCAAAATAAGTCATATTTAAATAATGGGAAAAAAAATAAAAATTAGAGATGTAATACAGCAAATATAGTATTACGGTAAAGATTATTTTCAAAACAGGAAATGAAATTTGGAAATTTAAAAAAAAATGAAATAATTAAAAAGTAAACTGGTAGCTAGTCTCACCATAAACCAATCGTATTTACTACCAAGACAAAAGGAAACAAAAAAAATGTTTGAAAAACTTTCATGAAACTACATTTTACTTCCACTCCAAAAAACATTGTTTTCACAGTGCTAATATTATGACAGAATGTCATGGCCTCAACCTGACTTTGTTGAAGTGTGGAAGTATGAGTAATGCGATGTATATCCTGTGGCAGTATTTTAACAAGGAAAGCAAGGAGTGGCAAAAACGTATCTTAGTTGGTAGTTCAAAGTATGCAATAAATTTCAACTCTATAATGGACTACACATTAATACAATGCACACAGAAAAAGTCACCATATATAGCCACAAAATCAGTGGGGGAAAAAGCTGTTGATGTGTTAATGTGTAGCCATGTTAACTAAAATATCTACTCCTGTATAGTCATTTTTATTACAACTCCTTGATAAAAGAGATCTGGTTGACCTTAAGATACTTGAATGTTGATCCTGCCCTGTACTGGCATTCCAGGATCTGAACCCAATTATAAAAGAAAAGGGGCATCATTCATTATAACCTACTGTATAAATATCTTGTAATTGTATAAGCAAAAAAAAGATAAAAAACTACAATTATTGATTCACTACAAATGTGTGCAATTTAGTCCACATGCTCAATGATAAACGTATATTACGGTAAGCAGTTTGGAACTACATGAGCTATGAACTCTAATAAATATCACACTTTTAACCATTTCACAATGCTCATGAGACTCATTTTTGGTAAATTGCAAAATTTCCACTGAATGTGCTCCTTAAACAGAATAATTTACAATGAAAGTTAGTTCCATTACAATTTGTAAAGGCAAAAATTTACAACTAATAAATGAATAATAATTTTTTTATAGTTCTCAGTACGGCAATAATTTATTTAACAGTATTTATATAAAATTATTATAAATGATACTATAATAATATATTTGATCATGTCACCTAGACAACAAGTTTAGTTACCAGGCTAATTATAGAATGTGCTTCTATAAAGGGCACAATGAGTAAGTCTGACTATTGTACAGACAACATAACTTACCGAGAGACTGCCACCGCTTTGATAGTCCTCTTGCCTTCTCTTAGTAGGAAAGGTCTCTTATATTTTTGTGTTGTTCTATTCAAAGCCTTGTGGACGTGGTCTGGTTTGGTACCATTAGTAGTATAAAATATCTCCACTCCGGAGGAATCTAACAATAGAAATAAATTGATAGGTTATCCATTCCATTCCATGATTGACCTTTGACCTCTGTTAAACGTGTCATACAAATTTAAGTAAACGCTCTGAATCTTTCATATTAAATAGTAGACGACATCATGCATGGAATATTGAGCAAGAAAATGAAATCGTAATCATTCAGACAAGAAATGAAGCTCAAGTTAAAATGATCACTTAAAGTTTAGATTTCATTCTCTTGTTTCTTTTTATCTCGCATCTTCCCTGAAATGTTACCCCAAGAAGGATTTTAACACTTCTAAAACGAAATTGTCTGATAATTCAACAAAATTACGAAATACTGAGCAGGTACAAAACTTATTATTAACAGTCACTAAGTACCATATTCACTCAGAAATGCATCTCCAGTAGAAGCGCATATAAACTAATTTGTTGTATACTGAATCATCAACATTTTACATTTTGGTCATAGACACACCTCTGTAACGTATGTAAACACATGTGCTACTAATAGAGAAAATACAGCAATAGTGTTTTGTACTCATACAAGACAGTAAATTATTTGATACAATTTCCAAAAGGGTTTCTTAATTCAGACAATTGTTTTATATTGGTGTCCACTACTGTTTTCAGTCAAAAATACGGTAAATGTGAAAGGGCCAAAATATTTTTCAAAACTTTATATTTAATATAAAAATAATATTTAATACACTCACCTGATCTTATCTCAATAAAAGTGTTGGTGTCAATATGTGAACTTGTAGTTCCCAGTAGAGGTGGTCTTAATGGGATAATGAGGGGCGTTGCTATAGCACCAGCAGACATTTTGACTGATTCAGAAATCACAGTCTAACATCAAAAACACCTAAAATGTAGAAAAATAAAGACACATGTAATATTAAAATTAGATTTTCTAATATTTTTATTGAAGCAGCCCATGACAATGTTTTACCAGACAAACCCAACATGTAATTTTTAATTTTTACCAGCCCAACTGGAAAATTATCTGTCTTGGGCAGTAATTTACAACAGTGTATGCATGATTTTTATAACAGTTGCTATGGTGATCAATAATATTTTAAACAAAATGTTCATATGATGAGGTGTAGTAATAAAGCATCTCTTTTGTTGTCATTGAATTAAATTTGTTTTCATTTTATTCTTTGCGGATAATGGTTTGCAATCTGAATAGACACTTGTAGTAAGTCTATGAAGCAATCAGTAAAACCCTACATACTGAGTCACCTTAACATGAATAATTACATAGACTAATATAGGCAGTGTTGTGGAAACACTTTTTATTTCAACTTGTCTTAATCAATCACTTTTATCCTTCACATTATAAAAAAACAATAAGAGGTTTCTACACAGAAAATATTCCATCACATTTTTTTAATATACAATGACACGGTAATGATATAAATGGGGTAATTTAATAATTAATTCATATTAAAAACAAGTCATTGTCAATGACATAGTTCGTTGAATTTGAGGAAATGGAGAAGAAATAATGTCAAAGAAATTTTATTAACACAAAAAAAATGGCATGCATTTGAAACCATTATGTCTTGCCTTTGTATGAAAGCATATATAAAAATATAATTGGGAAAAGTGTATCAGAGAAAAAAGGGACAATTGAAAAATGAAAAAAAGCTTAGAATGATCTTCCATTTGCTAATGATATGATGAGAGACATGTTAAGTAGAAATAGGAAGCATTTAAAAATAAAACGCTTTGCTTTTTGAGTTCTCCTCTGCTCTGCAATCTGGTCTACAGTATTGAAAACAGAATACAGAAATACAAAACTGTATTAAAACAAAATAAATTAATGTGATTGTAGATACAATATGTGGTTTACGGTCTGTCATTTATCCCACAGTCAGCAGTTTCATTGAAATCTGATGAGTGGTGCTTGAGATACCTATGAAACAACTAAACATTGGCCAACAATTACGTAAATTAGGTAATTAATATGCAAGGATTTCGACAAAAAACTAATAAGGTCTGCACATTATCTATGTACTAAGTTTCATTAAAATCTGATGAGTGACTCTTGAGATATCATTGGAACAGCTGAAACATGGCTAATTATTATGTAAATTTGGTAATTGTTATGCATGAATTTCAACCCAAAACTGATCAGGTCTAAGCATCTATCTACCAAGCTTTATTGCAATCTACTGAGCAGTTCATGTCCATGTAAATATAGTATACACACTTAAAAAAAAAAATATTTCACTGAAACCCAAAAGCAATATTTTCAGGCATGTATGAGATATGACATCGAACAGACTCGCATGCATATACGGACACAAAGACAGACAGATAGAACCCAAAATACAAGTTAATGTTTTGGACTATATCTGACGGGCTATTTTCTTGAGAAACTATTTACCTTTCTTTCAGCAATGGATAAACTGAACACACCAACAAATTCTAACCTAATATTTTGACATTAACTATTCTGGTATGAGTAAACTAACACAGTATATACTGAATCTGACAGAAATAATGATAGCCTGGAGTGAGCTCAATGTTACTTTAATCCCCCCCCCCCCCAGGATCCTATAATGATTACCTGCAATAAACATGCTTATCTCTCTATAACTTCCATATTATTTATTTTTTTAAACATTCACCTTGATACTTCCGAATACTCACAAATCTACTTCATCACTGCTAGTCCCCTGAACTGTGCTACAAAGTTTTTTTTGATTTCACAAATTTTGATGGTTTATATTTTCACCCAAAAGATAAATCACTTACTCCTGAAAGTATAACCATGGGATTCAAATTAAACTACAGTTTGCCGGAAGGCAGGGATATCTGATTTGAATATTCCCGTCTTTCCAAGATTTAATACACAATTTATTGATTACACATACTCTCTGGATCTATGATGACAAATCTAAGGTCAGTTGAATGAAAATATCCGCAATAAATAAAAGAGTATTTCCCTAAGGTGTATCACCTCATTCGCCTGAAATACTTAATCACTTTTTTTAAAGTATAATAGAGTCTTCTTTTTTGCACTTTCATATTAAATGTGTTATTGTTGCCATCGCTTCACATGGCCAGTCTAATCAGAAGCCTTTTTTATTATTATACAAACAGTACTTGACATGCAGTTTACTTTTCACTGATGTTTTTTATATTATATTGATTCTTTGTTGTTCAAATATATAAATACCACCGGCTATATAACAAAATACAACTATTAATTAACATATAAATGAAATGATAGTACAATGTGTACATGTATTCACGTGATCATTCTATATGACCAAAGTGAAAGTAGAAATTAGGTTGTTTTTTATACAGAACTAATTATTTTTAGTAATTGAATTTATTTAACGGTGTCCATGGTAACCTTTCTCTGTATGTCAGCCAACGTATTCAAGAATACAAATACCATTAATAACTTAATTAAATACATAAGGCGTCATATCGGGACACTTGCATGACATTTTGAGACGGCATACAAGTAGAAGTATTCCATTATAACCGGAAGAACACCGCGGTAATCATAACCCAATTAGGGAGTTCCATAGCAAAATTATTATTATTCGAACGACGTCTTGAAATCGATACCAAATTCCATAAATATGAGCACCAGGTCGCTGTTGCAATGGCTTCAGAAATGTGGTTCATTGTTATGTGCTGAAAGCGTATGGTACAGCAGCAGTTGGTATACACACATTGACACTTTAGAATTTAGCGTCGTCAACACACCCGGCCTTCAACTGAATCACATAGTAAAATTAGAATAAAAGTGAGAAATAGCTATAGCTACGACTCACGTTATTACAAACTTCCCGCCGCAGTGAAATATTTGACGAACGATCAAATCTCACTATAGAACGAGGAAGCAACTTTGACAACCCAAATTAACGAATAACGTACCTTCCTTGGGTTACAAACACTGTCCAAACAAGTCGTAATCGCGGTATACGGTGTCGTAATAAACACACGATAACACTTAATAATTTGGCTAATGTGCTGCGGTTACGTTAGAATGTGCTTACTCTAGTGAAATCCACGGTAGTTTTGCCGTAAATACACAGTTGACTAAGCCAACTCTACTACAGCGTGGTTGCTAGCAAAAACAAATTGCACCGAGTTTCTATCAATGGGCAGGGAAACGAGGCGTTCGTTATTTAGTTCCTCCAATAACCTAGTTTGATGTACAGCGAGTTATTTTCCATATTACTTAGAGTTGTACTAACAAATTAGGTAAAACGCAATTACAACAATGTAATTACGTTTACGGTGTTATACAAAAGTTTTAGGGCTTTGCGGTCAAATTTACATAATTTATTGTTTAATATCCGCAAGTGAAAACCGTTATGATTTACACAAATAGATCATGATTTGCACGGGGAGTTAGCAAACTAGGAAAGTACCTATGAACATTGCAAAATGGCCAAAGACTTTCTTATTGCCGCTATAAAATGGTCCAATAGTTATGAAAACGATTTGCTACATCTTGTGATAATCTCACTTCCCTTGGCGCCACTTGTTTTTTTGGACTAATTAATTTTGTAAAAATTTGTCAAGGGGTGGGTTTTTTGAGGAATTTTACCTTGTAAATTATACAAGTGACTCGCCCGGGGAACAATGATGTGGTCTCAGAAAGATAAGGGTAAGATTCACGGTGCGGAAGAGATTGTAGATTTACAAAACATACTTTGACCCCTCATTCACATTTTACAATAATAACACTGTCGTGTGTGGGTGGCGAATTCTCTGACGTTTTTCAGCGATGCTGGTTAAAACTGACATTTTCGACCAATTCTACAAAGCCGTTTATAAATATATTGCTATATATATATATATTGCAGCAAGAGGGGTTGGGTTTCAGTAATGTTCAACACTCTGAAATGAAAACATTTTCATAAAACGACCTCAAAAATTGATCAAAAATGTTTTGTTTTTTTTAATAGTTTACAAGCAATATTTATTGGTTCCTTTGACTGAAACATTCCCTCATATCTCAACATTTTCTATCCCAGTAAAAACGTTAAATATGAAAGACGTGCATGTACAATGTATGTGAATCATTACACCGTAATTTGTTAAATATTTACTGTGATAATTGTTTATGTTTTAATGGTAGCGACAGTGGTAACAGCACTTATTTACTTCTTCAAAACTGTTTAAATGACTATGAGTATTTACAATGACTTCATAAAGTTCTAGGCACGAGTTTCTCTTTTTTTGTAGTACCAGTATCAGTTTTGTAGTAAAAGGTGATATTTATAACAAAAAACTTTCTTTCATATTTGCTTGATGGTTCTTTTCCAATTGAGAGCAGGGTTTCGCGGACTTTCGCGGTAACCCAAGCTTTTGCCATTTAACACGCTCCCATCATCTTTTGTTTTATTGAAACAAAAACACCAAGAGTAAACAATAGACTGTATGCAAGTCTAACCAACATGAACGTGGCTATTTTAATTGAATTATTGAAGATATTTTGGCATTTTTGTAAGTAATCACAACCTGTAATCAAAATCAGTGGCGGCGGCACCGGGGGCATAAAAATGTTGGTGCCCCCCCCCCCCATCAAGCTAAAATCCTGCAGGAAATGCAGGAAATAGCATTTCAGAGGGTCTAGATTTCAGATCTCGCCCCTCATGCAAAATTACATGCCGCTGCCTCTGAAAATATTCCACTGTACCTGTGCACAGTTATTCTAAGCATCTTTCAGCTAATTACACTGTAACACAATGGGTAAATGATGTAATGCCCGGATGTGATGTTACAATGTAACACTATACAGGTACAGCGAGATAGTGCAGTTTGACAATTGGAATGTGAAACTGTCTGTAGTTTTAATTAAATGAGCCACAGTAAAGTAATGTCTAGACATTATATACTCCAATCTTATAAATCCGTGCTGTGCTTTTACAATGTATATAGCAAAACAGACAACTGACGTCACATTGCAATATAATTGGTTGTATATAAAAAAAATAATGTTATAACCTTAAGTACGTATCAGATGTCTTCTGAGAAGCCAAAGGCCATTTCGTATACTGCACACAATTATTCTGTTCTGAATGAATGAAACCTAAATCTTATTTTTTTACTAATATTATCTATATTATACAATTAGCTCATTTTACAGGGAGGTCATATTTAGAGGAACACTTTAACCGAATATATAAGAGGGATCGTTGGATTTCAGACATTGTCAGGTACACGCATGCAGCGAATACCAAATTGTAGTCATAACTCTGTTTAATCAGTACTGTATCAGCAGATGTTATGCATATTCAATAGTTGTGGAGCTAGATCTGGAAAAAAACAGCATTAGGATTGTTTATTAATAACTATTGATGTAATACCGATATAAGTATAATTCGAAATGCTAATTCTTTGTTTCCATGGTTAATAATGTAGAAAAAAATAGTGTAGGGGCGTCATCTTTGGAGTTTAGATGTAAGTCTCAATATGGTGATGGGGTAAGCTGCTTAGCGGAGGTCTCTTCACCAACGACTATTTTCCCAAAATTTCTTTATTTTTCCAAGCCACCACATACAAAGCATTCATGCTTTCTCAGGATGGACAAGCGTGCTACGGGCAACTTACTGCTTTGTTTCTCTATTTTTATTGAGAATTCGGTAAGAAATGCCTATTTTATTCTATTGAATCTGAGAGTATAACTAATACTGACTGACTGAAGCCAGAACGAAATCACAATCGACAACTTGACTAGCATAAGACAAATTTACAAGCGGATCTGTCTGTCCATAACTATTTGAGACTCAATGAGATTCGATCATCCCGACGAGGAAGCACAACACTAGTATCTAGTCAAGTACAATGCTAAATTGCAAGTTTCTTTTACGGTTAATTATTGCAATTGTCACGCTATTATCACCAATGTAAAGACAAAGCCACAAGTTACGTTTTGATGATAAGTACCAGTGTACCCAAAGGTATATATATATATATATTTCTGATGTGTTGTGGCTTTATGTGATTTATGTGCGAGCGCCGCCAGTGTCCAGATTAGGATTGCTGGAAATATGCTCGCCAACAGCGACGGGTTTCTCTCACAATACGTTCTATATTACGTAAAATATTATTAAATTGCACAAGATTAATTTACCTGAACAAAACATTACATATAACTGTTTTTTAACAATATTGTGTGACTCAAAAGGACACAGAAATACATTCGCAGTACAAAACGTGATAACTGTAGAAAATTATAATTTAAGGCCACAGTCACGGTGACAATAGAAGTCACACATTTCACGAGTTTATGTGATTTTTTTCTTTCTACGTGAACAATTTTCAGAAGAAAAAAAAACTTCTAGAAATTTGTTTTAAATGGCATGGCATGGCATGAATTATTTTGAAATAGTAACAACCATGTTTAGAATTGTACTATTAAAATGTATATATAACTAGTTTGAAACCATTAAAGAGTTATTGCACGGGTAATTGAAATATGTAATCTAAACCATTAAATATCGAGAAATATTCATATAAAACATGGAACTTGAAATTGCAGGGGGGGGGGAATTATTAATATGGGCGGTATCGTACTACAAGTATCTTCGATGCGATCACATCTATATACTACAAGCATGGAATGATAATTTATTGGATAAATTTTGCAAGTGTTGTGTTGTGTCATATATACTACGTGGTATGGGAATGTCGTGTGTATTGGTATCAAACAATCACGTTATTTAATCTCCGAAAACATAGAAGTAGCCCACATGCTGCAATAATAATAAGCACAAAATTGAAACTGCAATCAGAATAGGGAACATTTTTAATTTTTCTTTTTTTAAAATAGTTAGATTGTCAACTGATTTGATGTCCACATCAGCTTATACCACAATCTTGGAGCCCGATATGTAAATGAACACAGGTCTTTAAAAGCATTAACAGATTGAATTCTTGTAACTTTTTAAATTCATATTGGTTTGTTGTTAGGTAGCATCATTTTAATGTAAATAGCTATTGATTTATTCACTTTATTTATTCCTATTGTGTTTTTTATTTTACTATTCAAGTATAATTATACTTATGTTTTCTCTAGAATAATTATAATTATGTTTTTATTGAGTCTAATACACATAAATACATTGAAATGAGCGATATAATTCCTACAAACTAATATACGCAAAAACAACGAGTTTGTTTAACTAGCGCCCTCAACCGATAACCGATCGGTACACAATAACAAAGATGGCGGCGTCTTGCGTGAAAAGTTAGAAAGAGTGCAGTCAGCGTGATTGTAAAAATAACCGTTGCCTAAGTTGGTTCTAGTCACTTATTCCCTAGTTTAGTGTTTTACAAGACAATTATACAAGTATTCGAACCTGTATCCGTCTACTATCGAAGAAACAACTGCTGGGATCTACTAACAGTTGACACGCCGTGTTGATACCCTGTTTGTAGTACACCGGACCTCAGTGCATGTATACGTAACTGTGACGTCCGGTATTGACTTTTGCCATCATCGGGCAATCATGGCATCGAGCAGGGAAGTGGAGACGTGGGTTAACGACAAGCTACACGATATATTGGGTATGAGTGATCGATATATCGGCGAATATCTTATAAGCTTAGCCGGTAAATCGAATAGTGGAGATGAGTTTATTAGTCGATTACAAGACACTGGTACTGTTGATATGGATCAACCCATGGTGACATTCGCTCACCAATTATGGAATAAGGTGAACATTGGTACTATTATTGTCATGGGCCTATAACAAGAAGTTGCAAAACAAGCACCGTAATTTCTTCAATTCATCTCAATTTTAGTATGTTTCAAATCTTACAGGAACCTGCCAAACTCGGGGATTGCACCAAGGAATCATGGGACACTATTGTTTATGTTGTTTACAATGTTAATCTATCTTTTATTATCCATTGTAATTTTAATCCAGAAAGCAAATTTGTTGTGAGATTAGCTTAAACATAGGATGAGATAACTATGTATGAAATGGTAGTAGGAAACCGCAGTTCTTGTTATCATTTAATATAACCATTTTTTGGCAGTGATTCTCAGCAGTTGTATCTGCCAAGAACTGGATCCATGACAGATTGGACATTTTGTAGTTGGCTGCCCACTCAAGCACCGCCATAAGTCCTGCTATAGAAATGAGGCAGATACACAGCTAATTGATGTGCACTGTTTTAAGACCAAGCAATACATTTTTCTCTTAAAGAAGCTTTGGCAACACATATTACATAATAATATATCAACTTGATCGGTTAAAGCACTCAAAGTGTGGTGTTTTCGCCAAAAACCCAAGATGAAGGCCGAGGTATTCGACTGAAGAAAATTATTTTATTTTCCTCGATCAAGTTATGGTCATATATGCTACTCACCAAATACCTAGTTGATTGGTTGAAGCATTCATATGAAAGAAATGCCCTAAATGGCGGTGAAATCACATGACTGATTTGAATTATTTGTTTGCTGTCTGAAGGAGTTGATATAAAGATGCAACATGGCAAATTTAAAGATAATCAGATAAATGTTCATCAATAGATAAATTACTTCCTGTTTAGAAAAAATGATGGCGGCCAAACCATGTGACCAATCACAAAGACCTTCACAAACTTTACAGTGGACACAATCGAGAAACTTGAACTTCCATGGGAAAGTCTTTATCAATGTTCCAATAACCCCATTAACTTCCCCCGAATGGTTGAAGCAACTGCAAATAAAATTTGTACGAATTATTTACAATTTCCTTTGTATAGTCACATCAACGTTAGCAATATAAAAACAGACAACAACTCAGTAGTATCTAGACAAAATGAAATAGTCACATATCAAAGTGTTGCCAGGGGAAAAGTGACATTGAAACAAAATCTAGCAAATTGTTTTTCATAACATTAGATCAGTTGAGAGTGCCAATAAGTAAGTCCCTCACTATACTACAATGCAATATAGAATTTTTCTAACTTCCTGTACAAATCTTGTTTGTGCTTACTGTAATGAGCATTAGACATAGATGCTAACAAAAAATGTTCAGTGGTTCTGAAGAAAAAGATTTTTAGATGTTTTTCTGCCATTTTTCAGTATACCTAGACCCCCAAAAAGGTCAAAATTGGCCACTTCCTGTTTAACTAATATTCAACATGTATGCCAAACCAGTTGACCAATCAACAGTTTTTGTGAGGTGTACCAACTCCCAATGTACTTGAGAAGTTTAAGAAAAACAGACTTGGACCCTAATAAAATTTTAGGATGTACATTTTAGGCACAAGAAATCAGTAAATTTGTATGGTTGTATTTAAATAAAAATTTCCAGCTATTTGCATGTAATTAGCATAAATGTGAGCCTTATGACTTGTATCATTCTGCGTTGTGCCCAGCATATATGAAATATTCTTAAGTCAGCCATAGTAAAATCACTGTCTATTTGTACTTTTAGATTCCACACAAACAACAAACAGAGAAAAGAGCAAGAATTCAAGAAAGAGAAGCGTTAGCATTTCAAACAAAGAATAAACAGTACCAGTTGTTATCTGATGACGATGATGATTATGCCGTAACTAAGACGACAAAGGTATTTCTTCTAAACTCTTCTTACATTTTTATTGAAATATCATAAATATTTACATAATTTAAATTCCAGATTCTTAATTAATAAATGTCATCTCAATATAGTTCAGAAGTATTAAATATTTATTTCTAGTCCAAGAAAGCTGAGAAGAAGAGACAACATATCCGCAAGAAAAAAGTCTCTAGTAGTGAGAGTGAAAGTGATCACGAGATGGAAGTCGAGAAACACTACGCTGACTCTGAATCTGATTTGGAAGATGATGAGAAAGAGAGACTACGAGATTTAAAAGAAAGGGACGAGTTTGCTGAAAGAATGAAACAGAAAGATAAAGAGAAAACAAAGAATATTACAGAAAAATCCAATAAAAAGGTAACAATTATCCCTTTGAAATCCCTTTCTTATGCAATTATGGCTTTCATAGAGCTCACAAAAAATTGTACATATAGTACTGTATTTGTTCTATTAGTAGTGCATGCACTTTAACATCTTCAAACAAAATCACATTGTAACAACCCTGTATACAATCCTGTTTGGTTTATGCACATTCATATTAGAGATCCACTTCTATAAAAACAAATACAGTATACAGTTATAATTTTAGACACAGAGCTGTGTCAAAGTATGATAATTATATTAATCTGATAACCTACCCAAGTGTTTTTTGTACCACAGGCTTACAGAGAGGCTCAGAAACGACTTAAAATGGAAACAGAAGACAGGAAGAAAATAATACCAGATTTAAGAAAAAGTTCACGGCGGAAATATTTAGAGAAAAGAGAAGTTGATAAATTAGAAGAACTGGAAGCTGATATTGCAGATGATGAATATCTATTTTCTAAATCAGAGTAAGTAACACATGTCATGAAACTATGAGGTTATCACAAGAATACAGCATAGTCTGCACGAAGGCAGTACGGTGTTCGTAACAACCGTGGTTGGTGATTATACTCCCATCATGCACTGTAACACTTGTGCATTCAATGTGAACAAATGAAAGTGTTTGAATGTGATGTTAATGACCTGTAATGTGTTCAATGTTGATGATGCAGTTCATCCCATATAAGGGAAAATTTGAATATTCAAATGAATACTGATAAGATGTAGAATGAGTAATGATACAGTTTTTTACGGAACAGCAAATTCCATTGTTTCATTTGCCAGATGTATAATTCGAAATACCACAACTAATGTGCATATACATTCAGTGTTCACACAAGGATAACCACACCATGCATTGTAAATCTACACACTCTGTTTGTACTCCAGATTAACAGAAAGAGAAAAAAAAGAGCTGAAGTACAGGAAGACTGTATTAACACTTGCCAAAGAACACAAAAAGGCTGGGGAGTTTGAGAAAGAACATCGTTACTATATGCCAAAAGATGACATGGTAAGCATATATACATTGAAGGACAGTGAAGTGATGAGATTGCACCTGTATAACTCATGTAGATCCTGGAAATTATGACTCATACCATTCAGAGTATGCATGTCAAAGATTAACATTTAGAATCCTGTTGTATATTGGTCTGCTGTGTACAGATGCATCCTGTACTAGTTTATTTCTTTTTGCTGTATGGAGGATTCAGTGAAAATAAAATCCAGTGAATGTACCCTTTCTTCTTTATTTTACATTAATTGATGAAAATAAACCCCATACAAATCATGCAAGAATTGTTTTAAGTGAAAATTAATTCCAGCTAATATAAAAGCATTTTACAGTAGTAAATAACTGATGAATATATAATTATTGTGATTTACCTTTGTTGCTATAGAAACCATCTGATAGGTATGTTGAACCATTGGAAGAAGAATTAGGACCAAATTCTGAACAAAAACGATGGGAAGAAGAACATGTGAAAAAAGGATCTCTGAAGTTTGGGGCTAAAGATGCAAAAAGGAAAAATAAACAAAAACAATATGAGTTGGTGGTCCTGGATGAAGTTGAAGAAATTGATTTTGTAAATGCCTTGCAAATGCCTGGGTCTGGTAAAACAGAGGTCAGTCAACACATGATATTCATTGTAGTGTACCCATAATGCATAGCGATGTGGGTATGTGGTAAATGTACACAGTGTGCCATTAAATTTAAAATTTGCCTGTTAATAAACAAATATTTTTTGACAATATCATCAATTTAATATTTTTGTTTATATTTTGTAATTTTTGTTGTTAAGAGCTGTTAACCCTTTCTCTACCAGACTTTTTTACATAAAAAAATCCTAATTTCTGAAGGAAAGTGCAGGAAACTGGTTAAGCGACAGAACTAATTTTAGCTATACATGTATTGCATATTTTATTTCAGGATAATGAACAAGAAGTATCTGAGGCAGAAAAGAAGAAACTAAGCATACAGGAAGTGAGAAAAAGTTTACCAATTTATCCGTTTCGTCAGGATTTACTGGACGCTATTAGTGAACATCAAATATTAATTATTGAAGGTGAAACAGGATCGGGTAAAACGACTCAAATACCTCAGTATTTATACGAAGGTGGATATACTAAGGACGGTATGAAAATAGGGTGTACGCAACCACGTAGGGTCGCTGCAATGAGTGTTGCCGCTAGAGTCGCTGAAGAACTGAACGTCAAGTTGGGAAATGAAGTAGGATATAGTATAAGGTTTGAGGATTGTACATCTGATAGAACTATATTGAAATATATGACAGATGGAATGTTACTAAGGGAATTCTTAAGTGAACCCGATCTGGCAAGTTACAGGTATGTATTAAAGGATGGTGGTTGTTGTGCCACACATGCACAAAATATGAGTCTCGTATAAACAAAATGTGACGACTTTGACTGTTGCACAGACCAGCAAGTACAAACACATTACCAAGCTTTAATTTGCTAATTTTGTTGGTGATTGGAAGGTATTGAGTCACTGACAATAATTAGTGCACGTTGTGTCCAGGTCAAAACTTACAGATCATCCATCCTGAGTGCCATTGTAACTTCCCCGCCTAATAAATCTTAGTGAAATATTATTTTCCCATAAATTTATGAAATGAGAGCTATTTACAGTATGCTGTTAAAAAGGTAATTTGAATCTGTGTCATAAAGGTGTGGTTTTTTACAGTGCACTGATTGTGGACGAGGCACATGAACGTACATTACACACAGATGTGTTGTTTGGATTGGTTAAAGATATCGCAAGATTCAGACCTGATTTAAAACTACTTATCTCAAGTGCTACACTGGATACAGAGAAGTTTTCTACGGTAAGCCAGT